TGGGTCCCTGCAGCAGGAGGAGGGCTCGGTGGTGACCTGCAGAAGGCACTCCGTGCACCCCAGAGCTCAGCCTTCCCCCGGCTGTTGAGGTCTCTTTTGCACACTGTTACCCAAACCACCCCCGAGAAAGAGCACACGAGGCTGGGATGGCCAACCCGCTCATTTCACGCGGGGCCAACTCTGTGCTCAGAGAAGGAGACTGACCAACCCAAGGTCTCTCAGCAAGTCTTGAAGAACTGGGCCTGGCTTCCACCGGTTTCTTGTTGGATCAGGTCCCCAGGACCGAGCGTGGGGCCTGGTACGGATGAGGCCGGGGTCCATTTCACGTTTACGATGTCTTATTTTTAGCCCTGGACTGAAAGCAATTTAAAAGCCTGGGTCCTGCCGTAGCCAGTTTGCCCCTGGCCAGCTGTGTGGCCTTGGGCAGGTGACTTTGACTCTCTGAGCCACAGCTTCTCTTTCCATTGTAAAATGGGGTCATCGAGACCAGCCCCTCCCACTGAAAAGACTCAAGGAGAAGATGTTGGTGAGGTGCCCAGTGTTGTGCCAGGCCCTCGGTGGGTGGCCCAGGAACAGTGGCTCTGGGGTTTCTTTTTCTGTCCCAGCCTGTGGGTCGGGTCTCCAGGAAGACTGTTCCCTGGGCTCTAGGTTTCAGAAAGTGGTTTCTACTTGGGTCCTAGAAGCCTGGCCTGTGCTGAGGGTCACAGGAAGCTGAAAGATTGGGGGTCGGGGGCTTTTGCCCCACACGGCATTAGGTGGCACGGCTGCACGTGGGTGTGAACTATCTCAAGGGTCTGTGAAAAGGCCCTGAGGGAAGCTGGGCAAGCGGCTGACCCTCCATTTGTCCCCCAGGTGGCTGCACAGAATCCGCCCGTCGGACAAGGGTTAACCCGTGTGTGGGGAGAACATTTACATTGGCTTTTCTTTGCAAATAAAAAAGGGGGGAAATTCTTATAAAGCAGAAAGGAAATAATCAATGCAAAAACTAGATGGAAACATTTTTGTTTAAAAGGCTCTGCCAGGAGCTTGCTATGTGACTTCGAACGGTGGGGACTTTAGGAGATTTGGAAAGAGGAAATTGGCAGCATCCCTGTAAAGGAAGGTGCTGTTGGGGATGCTCACAGACCAGGGTTCAAACCTAGGCTCTGCTCCTCGCTGGCTGTGTGACCTTGGACAAACGACCGCCCTCTCTGGGCTTCCATTTCTCTGATCTGTTCAAGAAAAGAGAAGAGAGAGTTAACGTGTGTGAAGGCCCTGGCGCGTCGTGGATGCTCATTAAATGTCAATTTCCTTTCCTTTTTGGGCCTCTTGGCAGGCTGAGGGGAAGTGTCTGACAGGTCTCACCAGCCAGACCCGAGAGAGACACAGCCCTGCGGGCCTCGGCGCCTGCACAGCCGCTCAGCAGCCTGATGGCTGACCGTGTCTGCAAAGCACTTGCCTACTCACCATCAGGGCCTCTCAAGAATCCTGGGAAGTGACCAGGGCAGTGTTTACTACTCACTGTACCAAGACTGGGAGAGGGTAAGGGACTTGAACCCAGAGCTCTTAGGCCCCAAATCAGTCTTCCAAGAAAGGAAGCAAGGAAAGGAGCAAAGGAATGCTCCTGCAGCAAGTACTGGTTCAGGGTCAATATTATTATGTGCCAGGCACTGCTGAGCATGGAGGATACAGTAGTTAGTAAAAATAGATATAGATGGATTATAAGTGGATGGATGCTTGATGGTTGGAGGATGAATGGAGGATGGATGGATGGTTGGAGGATGGATAGATGATGGATAGATTGATGATGGACGGATGGATAATGGGTGGTTGGATGGCGGATGGATAGATGGATGATGAATGGATGGATGGATAATGGATAGATGGAGGGAGGGACGTTGGAGGGAGGATGGATGGATGGATGGATGGATGATGAATGGATGGATGCATGGATGGATAATGGATGGATGGGTGGAAGGATGGATGGATGGAGGATGGATAGATGATGGATAGATGGATGGAGGATGGATGGAGGATGAATGGATGGTTGAATGGAGGATAGATGGACGGGTGCAGGAACGAATGGTTGAGTAAATGAAGGAAGAATGACAAGTTTCTGGAGAGCAGCCCCAAGTCTATTCTTTCCATCCCTGGGTCCCCAGTACTGAAGATGGTTCCTAGCACAGAGGAGGTACTGACACTTGCCACACTATGTCTTCTTTAGTGGTGTGGACTCAAGAACCAGGCTGCCTTCCTACACAACTCTCTAGCTATGTGACAGAGGGGAAAAGTTATTTGGCCTCCAGATGCCTCAGTTTCCTCATTTGTAAAATAAGTCCCAGGTAGTACTTTCTAGGTTGTTGTGAGGGTTAAATGGGTTGATCCATGAAAAGCCCTTCAAAAGGGGATCGTACATGATGCATCGTAAACACCAAGCAAGCATCATTCTTCTGATTTCACTTCCAAACTGCCTCATCTTCCGGAAAGGACGATAAGCCCACTGAAGGCAGGGCTGTGGGTGCCCCACCCTGGGGTGCTTCTGGGTGAAAATATCTGTTGATGCTGTGCTCTCAGAAGCGGAAGACCGTGAGTCCAAAGCAGGGTCAGGGCGTCAGGGTGCACATTCCACCTGGGGCCAGAGGCAGAGCTGGCTTCTGGCTGAGGGAGGCCGGACAGCGCAAGGGCCAGGCCTCTGGGCTGGAGGGTGAGAGGTCACGTTTCACTTCTGGCCCACAAGGCCCGGGCTTCTTTGAGCCTCGGTCTCCCCAGGTGGACATCGAGGGAGATAATCTTCTTGAACCATCCAAGGCACAGCCCGAGGAAACATGAATCAAGCTATCTTCGGCTCCTCATCCTTAGTTTTCCTTTTTTGAACGGATTTTTCCGGATCGGAAAAACTGAGCCTTTGCTAGCCTTGGAACACACACACTCTCTCTCTCCCCCCGCTGAAATGCTGTGTCAGCGTCAGCTCGTGGTTGAGGATGGCACCAGATGGAGCTCTCATTAACGCCCCCGAGCAGTGGCCCAGGGTCCCCCCGGGTCACCTCCCCAGAGCACACAGGCTGAGCTTTCTCTCCGAGGGCTGCCTACAGTTCCACCTTGTCCTAGCCCTGCGATTTATAGGAGCCAGTGGTTGACACAAGCTCCCGCCCGGCGTGGGCTCGTGGGCCCGTGGGCTCAGCCCGACGCCAAGAGCCACAGAGACAGCTCCCGCCTGCCTGCCCCTCACTCTGTAAGTGAGTCACTGGGGTTTGGAGTGGGCCACCCTGGGGGTGGCTCCTTGTTGGAATAAGACAGTCACCCTCGAACAGAGCAGGCAAAGAGGGCATGCCAAACCCTTCGCTTGGCAAGGCTTCTGCCCAGAGGGCACCAAGACGTCTCCCTTCAGCCAAGGAATCGCAGGCACTCGGGCTGGCATGGCCCTCCCGGAGCCTCGAGCCCAACTGCCCCAGGTGGAGAGGGGGGGTACAGGGGCACAGCCAAGGAAGGGAGCCCAGGAGGCCGCCGCCAATGGCAGAGCTAAAGCCCTGGAGACCAGGTCACGGACGTCTCCTGCCTCCCTCTGGTCCTTCTGCTAATGGAAGGGGAGCAGCTGCCGGCCTCCCTGGCTGCTACAGCTGAACCCCCGGGCTGGCCTTCTGGGAGCCAGGTGTGTGCCTGGACATCTAACCTTTGGGACAGATTCCCGGGTCTCCCAGGCCAACAAGTTCGATGCACCTTTTGTGTGACAGGGAGAGAAAAGGATGAACTATGGGGGAAAGGCCTGGGCTTTGCAGTTGGGCACACCCGGGTCCCAGTCTCGGCTCTGTCCCTTACTATCAGGATGATCTGGTTACTTAACCTCTCTGGGCCTCGCGTCCTGGTCTGCACAAGCTGATAACACCCTTGCCCACAGGAGGCATCCGTAGCTTTAGGCAGCTACCGCCATGGTGGGGAGGCCTGGCTGGGACAGGCCCCAGGCTTTGGAGTCAGGGGGTGCAGGATGAGGTGCAGGAGCCGGAGGACCAGCCTTTGAGCACAGGCTGAAGTCATCTGAGGTTGGAAGCCCGGTGGCATTCCCAGGTCACCACCACCTCGCCGGAGAATCAGCCAGAGAGCCTCGGTGCTCCCCAGGACCCAGGCTCCCCCATCCGAACAGTGGCTGTTGGACCGGAGGCCTGAGCCGACTGTGGCCAACCCCAGGCTGGCCCGGCTGGCAAGGCAAGGATGGCGCCCACCTGGGGTTGCTTGAGGAGGCAGAGACGCAGCACACAGGGCGGGAGGTGGATCGGGTGGGAGGGAAGGGACTGGGTCGGGCTGGGACCTCCGGGGACCTCCGGCCCCCAGGCTGATCATCCGTGAAGGCTTAGCGAGTCCTCGTGGGCCAGGCCCAGGTGCTGGGGACTGAGGGTATTCAGCGCAGCGAGGAAAGGGCCTCAGCGCCTCCCTCGGAGGCTGGGTATGCAGGACTGGCTGCAGCCCCCCAACCAGCTCAGGGCTCGGATTTGCTCATTTGCATTAAGTCCAAGCAGCCTTCAAGGTCCCCAGGAAGCAGAGGGCGCTCTGAGAAGCCCCGGCCGGCCCCGGCCCCGGGGGCCAGGCTGCTGGAGGCACCAACGCCTGATAATCAAGGCCACACCTCCGTAGCTTCCTCTGGCAGCTCTTCAGCCCAAAGACCCTCCATGGCTCCCCAGGGCCTGGAACTGGCTTCTAGTCTTGGGGTGTCTGTCATTCATGAAGGGTCCCAGAAGCCTTGACTTGAGTGCCAAACATGGGGCGTATATACGTTTGTCTGGGGAGAGTTCCAGAGTTTCATCACATTCACATAAAAAGCCGGCACCCCGAGGGCGGAAGCCCAGGCTCTGGGCCGGCCTTCAGGGCTCTGCCCAACGTGGCCCCGGCCAAAACTCCAGGCCTCAGCATCTGCCCCTTCTTGCTCACCCGCACCGCGCCCCACCCGGACAGGCCCAAAGTCCAGCCTGAACAATCCCCTTGCAGACGTTCACGATGAGGCAGCCTTTCTCATCTCTCCTCCTGGAAGCTTTCCTGGACTCGGCTCTCTCCCAGGCCCTCAACATCCCCATGGCCCCTCCTTTGCCATCTTTCTCACCACCGTCCTGTCCTCCCCACGCTATAGCTTTCACGGGGCTGACTCTTGCCTGGACTGTTGCAGTAGCCTCTTGCCCATTGCCCTGCTCCCCCTCACTAGCACTGGCCCGGGCCAGGCCTGTTGTGACGCTCTCCTCTCCAGGTCTGTTACCTCCCTCCAGGTGAGCTGGATGAAGGGGCCAGGGGTGGGGGGGAGGGGGAGACAGAGGGGAAGGGAGAGGAGGAGGGTTAGAAACAAGAGACATGTGGGACAGGGGAGTGGGATCTTGCATAACAGAGAGAGGGGAGCAGAGTCAGAACAAAGGAGGGGCAAAAGCAGAGAGAGGCGGGAAGAAACAAGAGAGGGGGGCGTCAGGGAGACAAGACAGAGAGACAGACGCAAGGAATGAGACAGAGAGAGAAACAGAGACAAAGAGACAGAGCCATGCAAGCAAGGCAGGCAGAGACAGGGACAGAGACACGGAGGCCACAAGACAGAGGGGGCCAGAGCAAGAGGCAAGGTACCAAGGGCAGAGGGGAGTGGGGCTGCGAGAGCCCTCGGCCTGCGCTAGACATGGCTTTCCAGTGCCTTCCATCCCTGGAGCCGCGGCCTCCTCCCCTCCTCTGATCAATTGAGCCTCCCACCAGACCTAAAGGAACAGGGCCTGGTACTGGATCCTGCTGCCTGGAGGCTCCCCGCCCTCCCCACACCGGAGGTTCCGGCCTGGCTCCCTGACTCGATGTGAAAAGCTCCAGGAACCCCCATCATGGCCCCCTCGTCCCCCCAGGAGATGATGTCAGGCTGGGCTGGGTTTGGGCGGGATGACGGGGTAGGGGGGCGGTCACAGAATTTTAGAATTAGGGGCCTCCAGGTTCAGAAAGTCCAGCTGGGGGATCCCTGGGTGGCGCAGCGGTTTAGCGCCTGCCTTTGGCCCAGGGCGCGATCCTGGAGACCCGGGATCGAATCCCACGTCGGGCTCCCGGTGTATGGAGCCTGCTTCTCCCTCTGCCTGTGTCTCTGCCTCTCTCTCTCTCACTGTGTGCCTATCATAAATAAATAAAACAAAAAAATTTAAAAAAAAAAAAAAAAAAAAAGAAAGTCCAGCTGGCTGCCAGACAAGCTGTGTGATAGCAGCCTGGCCCTTACCCTCTCTGGGCCTCTGGGGATGTCAGAGGGCAGATTCCGTGTCGTCTGGGGTGCACACCGACCGGGGCTGTATTACCCCCCTCCTCGCCCTCCACCCGCCCGCTGCCAACACGCTCCCAACCCCAGTCCCATGGAGGCTGATCTTGTTTCCCTGTATCTATGACCCACTGCTCTGGAAGGCAGGAGAAGAAAGAATGTGGGCGAAGGTCTGGCCGCTTGGCCGGGGAGCACGTGGCCCAAGACCCGTCTGGCAGCCTCACCTCTACGTCGGCGTCCACCTCTGCATCTGGGATGGGGCTTAGGCTGCCTGTCCCTAGAAGGAGCCCCGGTAACTGTTCTTTGCCCAGGAGGGCGGCCTGGTTGCTGCAGAGCCAGCGGCCCCCCAGGAGACCCGGCTGGAAGAGCGGCACACAGAGCGCTGACAAGGCCAGCGACCGGCCCTCAGCTCTCAGCTACGGCCCCGCTCCCCATCGTGCAGCCTGTTCTCCCCACTGACACTCAGGGAAACTGAGTCTCAGGGCCAGTACACGGTGGGGGACCAGGACTCAACCCCAAGCAGCCTGACCTGAGAGCCCTCTCATCCCCGGGAGTGACAGTGTCGTGGGGCCCCGCCCCCTCCTCCCCGCCACCCCTGCAGGCCTCACCCCAGTGCTGGGAGCCAAGAGGCAGAGCCCAGCGGTCCCCACCGGCCGGGCCGAGCACCCAGTGCGGGAGAGAGGAGCCCGCCCGGCAGGCGGAGCACTGGCCCGTTAAGGAGCTCTTCCTGGGTGCGGGGCCCTCGCGGGGTGGGCGGGGGCAGTCGGGGCCCCACATTCCCAGGGCCTGAATCCACACCCCTCGGCCCATCAACTGCGTGACCTGCGGCAAGTCACCTCTCTGTGCCTCAGTGTCCTCGTCGGTAATAGCTCCCCAGAGCAGTGAGGACAAAGTGCACGGATCCTTGGAGAGGTCTCAGAGCTGCACCGGGCACGAGCTGGAGCTTGGACGGGCCAGCCACCGTCGTCTGCCTCACCATCACCACCAGCTTCCTCTCCTTCTTCTTCGTCAGCCTCCGGTTGAACTCTCCCTCTCATCTGGGACTTGGTACGATCATCCCCACTTTATGGACGAGGACGCTGAGGCTCAGGGAGGTGTGCTGACCTGCAGTAAACGAGGGGAAGGCCAAGCTCGGATGTGAAGGCAAGGCTGGGGACGCGGGGCCGTGTGCTTCACCGCCTCGGCCGTGTCACGGAGGAAACGCTTCCTTCCTTTACTTGACTGTTTATCGAGCGTCTCCTACGTGCCCGGTCCCAGGCCGGGCGCTGGACCCCTGGTGCGGACCCCGGGGAGCAGCCGGACCTGGGGCTCCTCCCACATCCCCCGGCTGCAGCGGCAAAGGGAAGAAAGCTTCGATTGGGCCCCGGAAGGGTGGGTGGCTGCGCAGGCCTGGGGCGTACCCGGCTCCAGAGGCAGGTGCCCGGGAACGCGCTGCCACCCTGCTCTACTTGCCCTAATGAGAAAGTGTCCTTGTCGAGGTCTTAGCGGAGCCAGCGAAAGGACATCTGGGAGGAAGGGGTGGGCCGCGGGTCACAGAAAGAGAGCTGACCCGGGGCCCAGGAAGTAGAGGCCTTGGCTGAGATCTGCTTGGGCCCGTGGGGGTCCCCGGGCCAGCGGGGCCAGAACGGGAAGCACAGGGACCCGTCCTCGATCCCCCATGAGGTGGGAGTTCCATGATAAGGGTGGTCGAGTCCTCCATCACGGGCCATCTCGGCCCCAGTTCACCTTCCTTCTGGAACCTTCTGAGGCTGGGTCCAGGGCCCGGATTCCCACAGCCCCTTGAGCCCTAGTGATGCCTCATTACTCAGACCCAAATGGCCTGTGTCTGGCTGCCCCACACCCACCTCTGGGCTTTGGCACTTCTGTGTCCTCTCCTGGGGACTCTCTGCCCTGCGTTTACCTCCTCGGGGGGCCTTCCCGGACCGGCCTACCTAACCTGGGCTTGACATGTGGCAGCAGGTTCGCTGGTCCTCCTCCTAGCAGGAGGCAGTGTGCCTCTGTCCCCCTTCCCATTGAATTTGGGCGGGTTTGCCACTGTGTTGACCACAGGGGTCGGGGGGACGTGGCCCCGTGGGGCTTCTGAGGCTGCTTGTAAGGGGCTGCCCCGCGGAGCCGCCACCGTTTCTGGTCGTGAGTCCTGCCCCACTGGGGAGAGTCCAGGCACTCGGAGGCCGCCGTGCTGGGAGGGAGCCCACTCTGCACGGAGAGGGAGACGGAGAGGGGCGGCGTGTGGGTGCTCAGGTCGGCTGTCCTGGCTGAGCCCATTTCCCGTTGCCTCAGCCGTCAGGCCGGGGGGGTTCCTATTGCTGCTGTAACACCTGACCCCAGATTCACAGGGCTGAGTTCAAGATGCTTGGCTGGCCTTTCTGGGGTCCTGGTGGCTGGGGGGACAGACCATTTCCTTGAGCTTCTTCCATCTTCAAAGCCAGCAGAGAAGCATCTTGTAATGTCTCCCTATGACCCCTGCTCCCTTTGTCACAACTATTTCCCTTGACTCCCTTGCTTCCCTTGTTCCCTTATGAGGACCCGTGATGCCATCGGCCCCATCTTGATCGTCCAAGATACTCTCCTCCCTTCAAAATCCTTAATTTAATGAGACCTGTAAATCCTTTCCACCAGGCAAGGTGGTATATCTACAGGTTCTGGGGACCAGGATGAGGGCATCTGTGTGGGGGACACATTCCTTTGTCTACCACCTGCAAATGGAGATACCTCTAGATGGTTCTAGCTGTCAGCTGTTGGAGTCTTTTTTTTTTATTAGACTTTATTTATTTATTCATGAGAGACAAAGAGAGAAGCAGAGACACAGGCAGAGGGAGAAGCAGGGTCATGCAGGGAGCCCGATGCCGGACTGGATCCCAGGACCCCGGGATCACGTCCTGAGCCAAAGGCAGATGCTCAGCCACTGAGCCATGCAGGGGCACCTGTTTGAGTCTTCTAAGCCCAGAGTCATTCGAGTCTGAGCTGAGCCCCCAGACCTCACGGAGCTGAGACAAGCCCTCCCCGCTGCGCTCTGCCCAAATTCCTAACCCGCAGGACCCCCGGGCAGAGAAGGGGCGGTCGTGCGGCATCACCAAGCTTGTAGCTGTTTCGCACGCAGCAATGGGTCGCCTCAACGAGCCCCATCCTCCTCATCACAGTCAAACCACTTCACCTGCTGTTTTCCTCCACGGTACTTTACGAAACCCTAGTATACATTTAGGGGTTTCCTTGTTTGTTTTCTGTCTCTTCCAACTGGAAAAGAAGGTCAGGAGAATCGAGGCTTGTTGCTGTATCCCCGACACCCAGCCACGCCCCCCGGATACGTATTCAATGAGGAAGTTCATGTCTCCCCATCACACCGTAAGCTCCTGGAGGTTAGACACAGGTCTGTATGACAATCCCTGGGTCCCCAGGGACCCCAGCAGGGCCCCCACACGGAGCTGGGGCTCAGGACATGTTGAACGAGTGACTCTCTTCTGAGAAACGAGAAGTCAGAGGGGGCTTGGAAGGCAAGCCTGCATTCATCTTTTTGGGGGTCACACACTCAAACACCCGTAGGAACCAGCGGGGGACATACATACACACTGGTCTGGTTCAACGGCGAGGCTGTTGGGCGCGGCCAGGTGCCCTGCCACTCCAGGCATTTTCTTTTTTTAAGATTTTATTTATTGATTCATTAGAGACAGAGAGAGAGAGAGAGAGAGAGAGAGGCAGAGACACAGGCAGAGGGAGAAGCAGGCTCCATGCAAGGAGCCCGACGCGGGACTCGATCCCGGGTCTCCAAGGATCACGCCTCAGGCCGAAGAGAGATGCTCAACCGCTGAGCCAGCCAGGGGGCCCTCCAGGCATTTTTTTAATTTAAAAAGCAGACGCCTTTGGACAACCAATCAAAAGATGCCTCCCCTTGTTATTCGCTTCCCCATCCTGGTCCTCCGTCCACACTCTGCCTTCTCTTGTCCTGCCCTTTGCCCCGGGAAGCTGACCTCTACAGGCTGGACCGCTCTGCCTTGGCTCCCTTGCCCCCTAACATCTGAATGGGTTTGGTCTGTGGGGGGCGCCCAGCGATGGGAGGGCAGGAGGGGAGAGAAGGGGGGGGCGTTTGCTCCCTTTGGGCCCTGCCCCGCTGTAGCTGTGGCCCGGTTGCCTTCCTAAGGCCGAGGCTCCCTTGACTCATTCCCTCCCCCAGGCCCCCTCCAGGCTGGGACAGCGGAGGCTTCTTTCTCCCTGTCTCCGGCTCCAGCAACTTCTCCAGCCCAGGGCTGCTTCCCCCAAACCCTGCCCACCCTTCTGGACATGGCTTTGCCTTGAACATTTCCACTGAGGAGTTGGGTTCCAATCTTCTTTATTATTACCAGTAGTAGCAGTATCATTAATTATAAGCTACTGGGTTTTTTTTTTTTTTTTTGCCTGGGACCCTCAATGCTCTCTCAGTTGACCCCCTTAGCGTGTGTGGCCTCCTGCCAGGATCCTGCGTGTGATGACATCTGTGGAGCTCATCTGGCCTTGGATTCAGACCCAGTCCCCTAACCAGGCCAAGAAGTCTCCCCACGAGCCTCTGCCAAGGAGTCCTTGATTTCTCCTCGAGCCACCCCTTCCCGCCTCCCCTGGGCCCTCTGCCCCAGGACTGGTTCTTTACCACCTGCTGTTTTACCCTTTCGCTCTTTGAACCTGGACCACCTCCTTTATGGCCCCAGGGGCTGAAGTCTCCCTGAGGAGTCCCCACCCCCATCCCCGCCCAACCTGCCACGAGGTCACCTGGACCACAGGGGTGTTACTCAGTCTCCCCACCCCAACATCCCACCCAGCCCTACACTGGTTTGTCCACATCTGTTGACTGGGCGGGCATTGGGGACCAAGAGGGGGTTGGGACCGGGATTTTCCTGCAACGGTAATGAGTCACGTTACCATTAACGGGCTTAATGAGCTTCGGAAATAACTTTCTCTGACACTTGGCTTTGCTCATGGTGCTCAGAGAGTTCCCTACACCCCGATCTTCTCCATGGAGCGCCCCAAGATCAGGGACAAGGTTGCCAGGACCTCACCGCCATCCGTGCCAAGGCTGCCATGGCCCAGCCCCGGTGGGAGGGGACAGCCCTAGCTCCGGTGCCTTGTCTGGGTGCCCAAGAGTCTCTGTTCCTCTCTGCAACGATTTTTCTTCTCTTGCAAAATGAGTTCGTCCAGGTTGGGCGATTAAAACAGGGGAACAAGCCCAGGTCTCGCAGATACAGGTCTGTATCTGGGCCTTCTTTCCCATAGCACTTTGTCACAGCGGTAAGTTTCCGTTCGCCCGCTCCCCGCTGGACCACGGCTCCGTCAAGGTCGAAGGCGTCGTTTCCTCTGGGTGTGGTGCACAATCTGACCATAGTAGGTGCTCAGAAAATGTGAGTGAGAGGAATGACTGCCTGGTTGGATTTTCAAATATTGTCCTCAGCTCAGTCCCGCGGATCACCTGGGGACTCCGTGCCGCACCCTCCTCCCGCCCCAAGCCCAAAATAAGACATTTAAGAGCTTCCCTGAAAAAAAATTTGTTTTAATTCTTTTTTCCTCGTGGCCCTCCTGACTGCCAGGCCCCCTTAAATGCCCCAGGAATATTCCTCAGAGGCTGCCCTGGTAAAACAGCCCAGAACTCTGAGGAGTTGCACTGGGTTGCCTTTTTTCCTGCTGCCTCCTAATATTAACCTGGCGCTGGGCCCCCAGCCCCCACGCAGTGATGGGAGGCCCTGGATGGAGCCAGCAAACAGATCCATCTGGAAATAGAAAAATAATCCCAACACTAGCGGTTTTGTCTGGCCGCCCCAGTGGGGTGTGGAGCAGGCCCATGAAAGGGGCTTTGAGGGCCGGTGGGTGAGGGCTGCGGCAGGGGGAGCCTCTGCACCCAGCACCAGCTGGGTACCTGTGCCCGGGCCCCCCAGGGCAAAGGCCAGGTCCGCAGGGAGCAGGACCTGCGTCCCAGCTGACTCCGGGAGCTGCCAGGACTCTGCGGTGCTCCCGCCTGAACTTGAAGCCCTGTGACCTTGAGTGAGTCGTGCAGCCTGGCTAGGCCACATGGCCCCGTATTTAAAATCGGGGTAAATAAGACCGACGCCCGGGAATGGCTCCCGAGGCCCGAGCATGTGGCCGGCAAAGCACTGCGCCAACCCCTGGGGTGACCTCGGGGAGCCTGCGGGCCTCTGTCTCCCTGCCTGCGCAATGGGGAGCAACCCAGAGCCCTCCAGCCCTGGGGCCCGGCGAGGTGACCCAGCAGCCGTCGGCCAGCCCCAAGGATGGCAGGAGACGCCTGCCTGCTGCAGGGAGCCCACCTCGCCCGCCCTCGGTTCCCCGGGGCAGGGGACACGGCTGCGGCTTCCTAGGGGAGCCCGTGGGCGTCCTCGGGCCTCTGCGGCCCCCTGTTGCCCTAATTCGGGGAGGCTGGGCCTTGGCAGGAGGAGCCTCGAGGGCCCGAGCTGGGGCAGAAGGACGCCTGGGCCTGCGCTCCTGGTCCCCATGTGCGGTGTGCGTCTGGGCAGATTGGGTCCGGCCTTGCCGATGTCTCCCGTGTCCGCACTTCATTCCTTCATTCGTTCATCCAGCGCACACACTGTCACCTCTACTCCAGGCCCTGTCCTCGACATCAGAAATACCAATAAATGTCAAAGCATTCATGATCCATGGGGACAGGAGGTTGGAGAGGAGCACGGGGGGGGGGGGGTGGCGGGGGAGCAAGTTGGGGTAAGGGAGGCGACAGTGCAGGTTTGGACGGCTTGGATTTGTGGTGTCCCTGGGACAGCTGGGAGGACCTCCAGTGAGCTGGATAGCCGGGCAGGAAGTCGGGGGGAGCCAGCCGGGCCGGAGCCAGGGGGACCCGCCTGTCCTGTCTCCCCCACTTCCCCAAATCCCTCTGTGGGGGCGACGTGTTGGTGACAGCGATGACTGAGGGTCCTGGTGTAACAAAAAGCATTTATCAAGGGCTCAGGCCAGCAGGCCCGATATGCAAATAGCAGGTGATTTGCATAGCACCTTTCCTTTACTTCTCAGAACAAACCTCAGGAGGAAGTCTGATGATTCCTGACTTCAGAAAGAGCTGAGGCTGAGAGGTGAGCGTCTTTGGCCAGGGTCCCTGGAAACAAAGCCTGAGAGAGAGAGAGATTCAGACGCTGTGGTTTCCCGAGAAAGCCTGGCGGGGAGGGGGGCCGTGAGGGCAGCGGGAGGGGAGGGCCCGTGCAGAGGGAGCCCCAGCGGCCCTGGGACCCCCCTGTCAGACCCTGGCCTCCAGGCAGGCCACAGGCTCGCGTTACCCTGGGTGGGCGCAGGTGGAGGGGAGCCCCACGCGCTGAGGTGAGCGGGGCGTGCTGGGTCTGCAGCCTCTGGGGGCTTCTGGGGGTCCTGGAGGGCCCCGTGAGTGTGACGGGCCCTCCTGGCTACAGACTCAGTCCCCGTGTCTTCCGGCTGGTCTCCTGGCCCGTCCTTGGTGTGTGTGACTCTGTATGTGTGGGACTGGGTGTGGGTGGCTGTGGGTGTGTGTGTGTGTGACCGTGTGGGGCTGTGGCCATGTGTGTGACTGTGTGAGTGTGTGTGCTTGTGTGTGCGCGTACCCATGACCGTGCGTGTGTGCGTGTATGACCATGGGTGACCATGTGCCTGGGGCCACGTGGGTACCTGTGCACATGTACCCGTGACCACATGCGTGTGCGTGTGTGACCTTGTGTGACCGTGTGCCTGGGGCCAAGTGTGTAACTGTGCACACGTGTGCACGCATACCCATGGCCATGTGCGTGTGTGTGATCATGTGCCTGGGGCCACGTGTGTACCTGTGTGCGTGTGTGCGCGTGTACCCGTGACGGCGTGCGTGTGTGCACGCACCTGTGTGCACCCATGACTGTCGTCCTGCCTCTCCTTGGGCCGCATCTCTCCCTTCCCCCCCGTCTCTCCTGCGTCTCGGTGTCTCTGCGCCCTGTCTTGCTCCCCCCTGGGCTCTCTCTCTCCCTTCCCTTTCCGGCCAATCTCTGTCCCGGGGCCGCCTGTCTTGCTCGTTGTCTATCTTTGTCCATCCTCTCTTTCCTTCCGCAGGACTCTGGCTCCTCTGCCCCTCCTCTCCCTTCTGCTGTCCTTTCTGTCCCCGAATCTCTCGAATTCTGCCTCTCCTTGTCCACCTCCATCTCTCGGTCTCTCTCCTTTCCTTTCCTGGTAGTGACCCTAGGAGCGCTCCCCGGGGCCCGCTGCCGGTGGGGGGCAGGGTGCCTGGATGCTGGTCCCCTGGGCCTGGAGCATCCTCTCCTTAGCCGACCTCCGCGCTAGGCAGTGCGCGTTCTCTCCCAGAGCACCAGGCTTTGTGTGCACGGCTGCGTGCATGTGTGTGTGTGTGTGTGTGTGTGCGTGTGTCTGTGTGTAGAGAGCAGAGCAGTACTGCAAGGCCTCTGCCTCGGGGAAAAAGGAGCCAGGAGCTGCAGCCAGGGCTTTCCCTGGCCTTATTGACACATAATTGACACACAGCATTCTTTTTTTTTTTTTTTTGAAGATTTTATTTATTTATTCACGAGAGACCCAGAGGCAAGAGGGAGAGGCAGGCTCCTTGTGGGGACCCCGATGCGGGGCTCGATCCCAGGACCCTGGAATCATGCCCTGGGCCAAAGGCAGGCGCTCAACCACGGAGCCACCCAGGCCCGACACACGGCACTCTAGAAGTTGAAGGGATAGCGGGATCTGCTGTGTGAGTGATTGCGAAGTGATTAAGTCCAGTTAACGTATTTATCACCTCACACGGCTGCCGTTTGTGTGTGTGTGATGAGAACTTTTAAGATTTACACTTTCCAACGTTCAAAGATACAATAGGGAGCACCTGGGTGGCTCAGCAGTAGGGCGTCTGCCTTCAGCTCAGGTCGTGACCCCGGGGTCCCGGGATCGAGTCCCATGTCAGGCTCCCTGCATGGAGCCTGCTTCTCCCTCCACCTGTGTCTCTGCCTCTCTCAGTGTCTCTCATGAATAAATAAATAAAACCTTTAAGAAAACCCCCACAAAGATACAATAGAGCACCGTTAACTAGACTCACCCCGCTGTACGTGGTCTCCCCACAACTTACTCATCTTCATGCTCGAAGTTTGTACCTTTTGATCACCTTCACCCATTTCCATCGCCCTCGACCCCTCACGTCTGGCAGCCACCCGCCTGTTCTCTCTTTCTAGGAGTTCTGACTGTTGGATTCTCGTATAAATGAGATGATACGGTATTGTCTTTCCCGGACTGATTTCACTTAGCACGATGCCTCAAGATTCACTCACATGGTCACAAATGGCAGGATTTCCTTTTTCTCCCGATTGAGTGATATTCCGCTGTGTATACGGACAGGCATCCGCTTCTAATGGCTTGTGCCCCACACCATCCCCCGCCAACCTTGAGCTGCGATTCCAGACCAGGTTCCACTTAGGTAGCAGCCCTCGGCCAGCTGTAGTCAAGATGGCAGGAGAGGCTCAATGGAGACCAAGGTCAAGGATGCTTCCAGAGCTCCAATTGGAGATACGCACAAGCTACTCAGAATCCAGCCGTCCAGGAGGGGGAGACCAATGCTCATATTTTTAGATAGAGAGCCAAGGCATGGGTGGAGGGGTGGCGGACAGACTTCTTCAAGGTGTCCCAAGATCTAGGGCCAGAGGTCAGGGCTCCCCATCCCAAGCTGCACGGCTGCCAGATGCTTCCTCGTAAGGTGTAGCTGGTTTCTGTCCCAGGACCCAGGGAGCACTGAGCCAGTCAGTCCTCCCCAAGTACCCCTTTCCAAACCCTTCCCTCCCACCATGCCACACCCAGTTTTTACCTCCCACAGGGAACTTCCCCGCTGACCCCACAATTGTACCCAAGCTGTGCCCTGTCCCTTCAGAGTGTGACTCGTCGTCATCAGCAAAAAGCCAGCCAGCTGCTCCAACAGATCTTCCAAGACTCAGGCCAATCAATGTGTGGGAGACAATGAGCGAGTGAGGTACTAGTTTGTGCTATGGTCTGGGTGCTTCCTCCTTCATCCCCAGTTCAAGGAGACAGTCAGCCCTCCAGACACTCTGGTCGCTGGAGTTTTGGAGGACCTGAAAGCCGGGGCTGCTCCCTTTTAAGTCCTGCTTGTAAACTTAGAGAGGGGCCGAGGCTCTGGGTCCCAGAGCGGGAAGGAAGAGGCGAGCACCTCTGAAGGCAAGGAGGAGGCGACGACGGTTGGTATTAATGAGTCCTCAGGTGGCTGGGAAACAGATAAAGTCCCAAGACGCCTGCTCCAGGCTGTCTCTAAGGGAGGCTGGGCCCAACACATTGGTGTCTCAGCTTCACAGGTCCAAAGCATGACACCAAGATCATTGGCTGTAAGGGGACATCGGCACAGACAATGAGTACGTGAGTGGCCACAGATGAGAGCAGGGCAAGGAGACCTCTTGGAATGTGTTATTCTGCATAGGACCCCAGGACCTTTGCATAACCAGGAGTCTCAGTAATGACAAACACTGAATTTCCCCATCACAGTAACAGGTGGACTCAAAGTTGGACTTTAGTTTAGTCAAAGGAAGGCCCTATTTCTTTTTTTTTTTTTTAAGATTTTATTTCTTTTATTCATGAGAGACAGAGAGAGAAGCAGAGACACAGGCAGAGGGGGAAGCAGGCTCCCTGCAGGGGTCCCGATATGGGACTCGATCCCAGGACCTCGAGGTCACGACCTGAGCCAAAGGCAGATGCTTAACTGCTGAGCCACCCCGGTGTCCCAGGAAGGCCCTATTTCTTATGCCCTGAGCTGGGGACTGAGGTTTAGCCTTCACGCACATTAAATAAATGAGTGAGACAAAGAAAGAGGAGCGAAGGCCCTTCCCCTCCAGCGAGCCCGGGCTTTCCCGAGGCCTTCATGCTGACGGAGCATCCCCGACGGGTGTGATGCCCAGCGAAGGCAGGCCATATTTGGGGCGGGTAGGAACTTTGGCTCACCGGATATGTCCACCGGTGCTGGCTGGTAAATCGGGGTGAACCAAGTTAGCACTGGGTCCGGGGCCAAGTCCATTTTCTCCAGTTTCTCCGATTCTAAGTCCCTGGGGATCATATTGCCTGAGCAAACTCGTTTCTCCCGACCTCCGGGAGTGGGTGCCCACGGGGACCCTTGCCCGACCACACCTGGCGATGCAGACCGGGAGGGGCTGGGCGGGGCCGGGTGGGATTAGGTGGGGTCCAAGTGAGCATATGGTCAGGGAAAGGTCAGGAGGCAAGCTGGGTTCCAGGAGGAATGTCCCTCCACAGACGGGGGGGGGGGGGGACGGTCAGCTTGCCCTGCAGGGCTCCTCCACGTGCCATCGCTGCTGGGAATGAATGCCCCCTTGTGTGAGGTCCTTGTCTGTCCTGAAGTAGGTCACAGGAGTGAGGGATCACAGCAATCCCAGCCTCCGAAGCATAGAATCGTAGAAGCCGAAAGTCAGTGCCAGGTAGGATTCCAGGATTTTAGAGCCTCGAGCCCTGGCATCAGAAGGCACAAGAAGTCTGGCGCTTTGGGCACAACCTTTTATGGCTCCAGGGATCTAGAACCACAGAGTCACAGAACCTTGCACTTGGATGACCCTTAGACTCTCAGGGAATCTAATATACTCCCTGATACAGTGATCTTTTTTAGAAAGTTCCAGAAGGTAGCATTCTTCCTCGGATAGGCAAGGAGTTTGGGAGCGGGGAAGGAGGACCCAGGAGGTCCCTGTGTGGGATGATGTTAGGAGTCCGGGGCTGTGCTTTCTGACCCTGAATGCCTTTGTCAGGGGCCATCAGAATTCGAAAATCTACCCTCAGCCATTCTTTCTTCGGGGCGTGAAAGTCCTTTGACCTCCAACGATCTACTTTGCTGTAAACTACTCCCAGGTCAGTGGTGCTCGCAGGGCCTCCTCCATAAGAGCCCCGTGATGAGCAAGATCCACTCAAGGTCCAAATGTCAACCGTGGGCCTCTCTCTGCCCCAGCCCTGGGACCCTCTCCCCACCCTCCACGCCTTCCTGTGCCTTGACCACCCAGCTCCTGGCAGGCGCCCAGCTGGCTGGGAGAGGCGATTCCAGCAGCCCTGGGGCTGGCCATGGTGTACAGTGTGGCCTACTTCTAATCCCACCACCTCCTTGGGGCAGGCGGCGTGGGCAGCAGCCTGTAATTTGGGGGTGGGAGATGGGACACCCAGGTCAGCTTTGACCATGGGGTCCCTAGAGGAAGGGAGTGGTCCAGGGGCCTGGAGAATCAAAGCCTTCCTCTCAACTCCCTTGGTGACCATGAAGATAAATATATTTATGGACAATTTTCCTCACTCTGGGGACAGCCAGGCACAGAACAGGGCTGTTTTTTTCCTTGGCTATGGCTACGCTGTCAGGATGGAGGGAGCTGGGGCAAACACAGGTTGTTTACAAGGCCTACTGCAGCCCCAGAGAGACACGGCTACATACAGTTTCCCCTTTCTCAACGGGGACGTGAGCTTCTGGAAAGTTGCCCAGAGGAACAAGGGTGGGTTTCTGTCCTCTGTTGGCTTCGTTCTTGGTGGGGTTGGAGGGATTTTTTTTTTTCCCTGAGAGATGGGGCGAGTGTGTTAGGGTGAATAACATGTTTCCCATAATTTGCCTTTTGAAAACACAAGGAAATTTGCGTATGTGGCTGACACAGCCTGGGCAGAGAGCCTTCTGGAGAAGCCAGTCCTTCATTTCCCCACCGTGTCAGGCTGCTCGAACTCAATAAACACTTGTTGACTGAATGAATGGGTCATAGAAATGGCAAGCCCGAGCTGGAAGGAAGGCCCCGTGGACATCCTCCCCGCCAAACTGCTCAGGTTTCAAGGCAGGGAAACTGAGGCCTGTACTGGGGGGAAGGGACGGAGGCTGCACACAATTATAGATTTCATTGCTGCTGCTGCTGCTGCAGACAATAATGACAATAAATCATCTTTTCTGGGCATTGGGTGTTTTCCAATTTAACAAAATCTTTCTCACTGGCCAGACTTCCAGCAAGACCTTGGAGGAGGCAGGAAAGAGATGAGGATTCCCCGTTATCATGGACCAGGGAAGAGAAGCTCAAAGATGTTGAGCAACTTGCCGACTCATCCAGCAAGGGGTGTCGTGGGGCTTGGCAATAAATTCGGGCTGTTTTTCCGTCACTCAGCAGATACCTGTCATGTAGGATCCGCCACCCACTCAAAAGGAGGGACTTGCCTCTGCGGGAGTTTAAATCCCCAGCCCTACCATGCTCGGCGGCTGAAGTAGCTCACTGCACTGTGCCCATCCAGGCCTCACTTTTCCCCATCTGTGATTTGGGGCTTGCACTTCCCATGTACTATGCAGCCCCCCCCCCCAAACTGGTACAAGAATGGCATTAGAGAAGGGGTATGACCCTGCTTGGGAACTGTCAAGCAAGAGGGACGTCCTGACACTAGCTAGCATTAGGATGTGTCAGCGGATCCCTCCATCCATCCAAGGGAGACAGCTTTCTGATTCCAGCTCTCGAGATAAAAATAGCTTTAAGGGGAGGGGGGCAGCTCCCCAGGAGATCTGGGCAGGATAAAAATAACCCTCAAGAACAGCTGGCTCCTTTTCTCCACTTTGGTATTCACCCACAGTCTTCTGATCTCTTATTTGGTTTCCCAAGCCGACCTACCATCCCAGGCAAACAATCCTCCTTGTTCTAGGGCCAGGCGGTGGCAAATATATTCCAGGCTCTGGGAGTAGAGGCTTGGGAAGCAAGAAATATGGGTCCCATCCCAGCTCTGTTTACAACTCACTGTGTGGCTTCGGCAAGTCATTTCGAGTCCCCATTTCCCTCGATACAGTGCTGTCCAATAGAACTTTCCTTGAGGATGGAAATGTTCTATATCTACACTGTCCATTACAGTAGCCGCTATAGCTGCATGTGGCTGTGAACACTTGAGATTTGGCTCGTGTGACTGAGGAATTTCTTACGAATCTTTTATTTTATGGAATCTGAATTGATTGAATAGCCACACGTGGCCAGTGACTGTCATATTAGACAACACGGGCCTTTAAAAAGGAAGATGGGAAAGCACCTGCCCCCTTGACATGGGGTGAGAAGGATGGACAATGTATGTATGGAGCCTGATGAGAGACACTCCCCACTTGTTCAATTCCTCCCCCTCTCTGCCCCTAGAAATGTAGATATATGGGTCCTTGAGCTGAAGAATCCTCCTTTGGGAACACGCAGTTCCTCTTTGGAGACTGGTGGGAAGGAGGGATGCAGGGTGGGTAGGAAGCCATGGAGGCTTCTGTGATGGGCGGGCTGGAAGATCAGGGAACATGTCTGGAGGATAATGAAGCCAGGTCAGAAGAAGGAAAAACTGGCTACAACTGCCCATTCCTGCCCCCATCAGCCCCCTTTTTTCTTCCATAGGCACTAGTGCTCAAAAGTGGTTTATCTTAGAAACTCCCTTTCTGGGGCGCCTGGGTGGCTCAATGGTTGAGTGTCTGCTTTCGGCTCAGGTCGTGATCCCAGGGTCCTGGGATCGAGTCCTGCATCAGGCTCCTTGCGTGGAGCCTGCGTCTCCCTCTGCCTGTGTCTCTGCCTTTCTCTCTGTGTCCGTCATGAATAAATAAATAAAACCTTAAAAAAAAAAAACAGGAAAAGAAACTCCCTTTCTTTTGCCTAGATGTGGTTAAGATCATGGACTCTTAGAATCAGATGGTTCTAGGTTAAAACTTCAGTTCCATCACTTACCAATTGTGTCTCCTCGGGCAAGTTGCCAACCTCTCTGTTTCGCGTCTGTTAAGTGGGTAGACTAATGCCTGCCCCTGGGGGTTTGTGGGGAATCAATGCATTAATGTGTGCGAGGCCCTTTGCAGTGGGCCCAGCACATATAAAGTGCTTAAGAAATGGAAGGCTGTGGCCAATCTTACAGAAATAGAACCATTTAACTCCCATCTCCACCCCAGCTGGGGTCCAGGGAGATGGCTGAGAAGCCAACACAGGGGTTCTTCTAGAAGAAGAACTTTTCCGGTGGTCCTCAGGGTAAGGAAGAGGCTAGGCACATGAACAAGCCCTGGTGCCCTTTGGTGGGCAGAGAACCCACCAAATTGTAGAGCTGGAAGTCACCCTGAAGTATTGACTGCTTGGATCTCCTTTCTGGCGACCTGGCCAAGTGATAATCTTCTGGGGTGTGTCCAGAGGCAGAAACTCAGCTACGTCCTGGGGTAGGTGACCCAAACCAATATTAAGTCCCTCCTGGGATCGAAGACAGCTGCCTCTCTGTGACTTCCCACCCTTGGTCCCGGTAAGGTCTCTGCTTATCAGATTCAACCTCCTTCCCTCGCTGCCCCGTGCTGGGAGGCATCTGCAGATTGGTCCCTTTGAAAATGCCGCGTCCAGAGACTGGCTCGCCAGGCCAAGGGCAGGGTTAATCTTTATTGAGGTGGGAGGACTGAGACTTAAAAACTTAAAACCTGCCACTAGTTAAGAGCAGAAGGTGTCTTTCATCCACTTGTCTTACGTGGTAGGCAAAGGAAATGAGAGCTTGATCTATCCAACGATTCATCCAGTCTCTTGCTGGACGATAGTTACTGAGCACCTACTGTGTGCCAAGTTCTAGAAACACAGAAATGAATTCCTGTACCCAAAGCTCACAGTCTGGTAGAGACGACATTTATATCAACAGAAATTATAGCAGTGTGATATGGGTTCTCATGTCAGGGCTGGGACCAGGGTGAGGTGAGTGTGGTACTCATCTTGGGGACAAAAATTTTTTTTAAAGATTTTATTTAGTTATCAGAGAGAGAGAGAGAATAAGCAGAGAGAGGGAGAAGCAGACTCCCGATTGTGCAGGGAGCCCAATGTGGGGCTTGATCCCAGAACCCTGAGATCATGACCTGAGCTGAAGGCAGCCGTTTAACCGACCGAGCCACCCAGGTGCCCTGGGAACAAAATTAAATGCAGGGCCCAAAGAACTCAGTAATCAACATAAATAGTGATTTATTGCAATGCTTTTTAAAACTCAATGTCAGAAAGGCATGAACGGACAAAAGGTAAAACTCTTCAATGAAGACAGGAGCAATATTAGTGATTTTTCCCTTTGCCTCGGGCTCCAGCACAGCTTGCCATGGCACAGTACTCTGGGGGATGTGTGCGAGCTGCTGTGGGACAGAAAAGTGGGTGTCTCACCCAGCCAGTGGTGTGCTGGAATGGACTCATACCGGCTCGCACACTCCTTCCCAGCTTCGCACTCAGGATTGCATGGTGGTAGGTTGAAACTGGTCATGATGGGAATATTTACACCATGGTAACTGGCGGACGCTAGAAATCAGGGCTTTCCCACACTCTTTTGTTCAATATTTATCAACACGTCATTTATATCCAACCTGCACTGGGTGTAACCTTCAAGAAAGGTTTCCCAGAGGAGGCACCTTCTGCATTTTGCAGAATAAGAATCTAGAAAAGGTGAGAAAGGACATCCCTGCAAATAAGAAACTCAGTATGCAAAGCACCAGAGGAATGGGGGGAAGAAGTGTACTGTTTTAAGCGACTGCAAGGAGCTGAGAGTGGCTGGAATGTGTCATGTTGCAGAGGAAGGAAGCTTCAAGACGTTGGAGAAAGTCAAAGCAGCAAGTGATGTCCTGAGATTGAGCAAGATCCTGGTCTTTGCTCTGGGACAGGATTGCAGATTTATAGGAGGAGGGTGCTCCGTACTTTTGAGGTGTCCTGACTACCCAGACCAGGCAAGAGACAGCAGTGGTGAGCTGGTAAATGTGTCACAACAGCTCTAAGCGAAAAGAACTCTGATTTATAGCATTTGCCAAAGATTCCCACCACGGCCAGTTTCATTTATGTGGTGTCCCTGGATGCTGAGTTGAGGAGAGATGCTCAAAAGGACACCATCGTGTGGCACCTCCACCATCTACCTAAAACAGAAATAAATAACCTCAAGAGCACAGATAATAGTAAAATGTAGCTCGATAGCTAGAAAGAGATGTGTTTTGAGTATTTATTACTTTTGTTTTTATTTATTATCATTATTTTTAAAGATTTTATTTATTTATTCATGAGAGACACACAGAGACAGGCAGACACACAGGCAGAGGGAGATGCAGGCTCCCCACGGGGATCCCGATACAGAACTCGATCCCAGGACCCCAGGATCATGCCCTGAGCTGAAGGCAGACGCTCAGCTGCTGAGCCATCCAGGCGTCCCTTACTTTTGTTTTTAACAGAATTTATTCAATTATACGCTTATGCAACTTAATGCTTAATAATGGCTTAATGGGAGCACATGAAGTTTCCTGAAAATTGAGCCATCTGCTCTCACGAGCCAGTAGGAACAGGTATGAGACACTCCAGCAGCCACCAGGAGAGGAGATTTTGGTCCTGACTCACCCCACGTTGGTTGGGGATGGGGACCCAATCCCTGGGTCTCACCTTCCCAACCTGAGACACTGGACCAGCTTTATCGTGAGGTGCCCCTTGCCCTGATCCTCTGTGAGTAGGGACATGGATCCCAGCCTCTGGGTGACTTCCCAGAACGATGCAGCATTCGCTGGGACGAAAGCATCAAGAACAAACAAGATTCCTGGGAGAAGACAAGCCCGAGGCCAAGGTTCCACAGCCTCCTCACTTCAGGAGTGCTGTTTTATTATAAAGCCATTGGCACCTCAACTATCCAAGAATATAAAAAAATAATTATAGCAATAAATACAAGTTATATTTATTGTACTCTTCCCACGTGCCAGATGCTATACTAAGTGCTTTATGTACACAAGTTCATTCAATTCTCAGATCAGAAGCACAAGGTAGGTGTTGTACCGTCTTCAAAGATGAGGATGCTATTGGGATCACGATGCGAAAGATGGACAAAAGCCGGTACGAAGAGTTTACGTGGTTTACCCCCAGGTGTAACCCAGCTGGAGATTCGAACTGGAACTTGCTGTGTGCAAGGGCAGCAGGAGAGGAGCATGCTCGTGCAGCCCAGTGCGACTGCAGGAGACCCCCTGAGCCAAGGGGGCGCATCAATCCAAGAGCTGCTGGGTTTAGCCAGATGGCTCTCTTCACAAGGACTGGTGAGGTTGGGAGGAGGGGAGTCGCCACAGAGGCACATGCTCATCACCCCCATGTTCACAGATGAGTTCAC